ATTAAACGAATCAAATTGTTCTTGTTTGCCATATAATAAACATCTTATTAACCGAGCAGGAGGTCTGTGTGGGAGAATCTTGACCTCGGTCAAGATTCTCCCACACAGACCTCCTGCTCGGTTAATAAGAGCTAAACATAGCACGACGCGAAAAAACTAATTTACATTCAATCTGCACGGAAAAAGCACGCAAAATATGAACTATTAGATGCAGAAACTATGCCGAACGCGGCAAGAATATATTTTGACGAAAATACAAACAAAGACAAAGCAGAAAAAGGCGACGAAATAAGAAAAATAACTCTCCTGAGTACAGCAAGGTTCCACGGTATATAGCAACCTGTTCAGAGAGATTTCCCATAGAAGCTTATCAGGTTACGCAGAAACAGATACATGTACAGCGTGGAAAACGGTAACTCAGTTTTTTTGTATTTTCTAACAATCATCAGTTTGTTTCCAACATCAACGGAAGTCGTCCTTGAAGCAACGTTCTGCTGTTGAACTTCTTGTTATTGGTAATGGATGTTCTGTGTTCTTATTATTGTTTCCTAAGTTGAGCATGGACCACCTCAGTTTTATCTTCTTCTCGCGGTTAATCGTCTCGGTTACTACTACTACCTTTGGATTTGCGATTTGGTCTCTGTTATTGCCTTTAATCAAACTCTCTGTTTGCAACGATAAATCGGGCGTCTCTTTTGAAATTTCCATGGCATTTGTGGTCCGTTTTACGCCACGAATGAACTTCTAATTTTAACACGAGCATGAAAAATGTAAAAGAGCGTGAACATTAGCTTCACCAAATCGAGGTGCTTTTCAGAATCTGGCATTTAGCTGAAACCTGCCCTTACGTAAAGACTTTTGCAAGAAAGCAAAATTGAAACTGCCACAATTTTATTGAAATACGCTAAGTTAATTTACATGCGAAAGGATTTTATTTATATTTTTAACACTTTGTAAAAGGTGAAAGACGTCTTTGCATGGGTTTGACACTAAACGATATAACCGCTAAGTCCTTGGCTATCTTTTACTCCACATAGGAACCAAAAGGACTGCCCAAAAGCAAGGTAATAACATTTGTCGCTCTTCATCAAAAACAAAAAAAAGGAATATAGTAAACAACTACATGTAAAGTAAACAAATAAAGTAAACAAATCATGTTGTTACTGATGTTTATTGTGCGCTGTAGACTGATTCAACTATGTTGTCACCATAAGATGAAAATTAGAACATACAAGCCCTTAAAAGGTTAAATTATTGCATTAAGTGTAAATAAAAATGCGTCAAGAGATAGTTTTGAAACTTTGCTGATTGTTATTCTAGCATTTTAGCTTTTTTTCTTTACAAAGCGGGAAATTGAAGCATTGTTAGCAGATGCTGGTTTGGACCACTTTCCTGAAATGGTTCTCAATCGCCAGGTAAAATGGAAATGTTTTTTTTTTTTTTCTGTAGATAAAATTATCTTACTTTTCGCTTGATCAGTTCAATTCTTGCTTTACCGCGCGCTATTAAACTCTAACTAAGATCTCCCACGGCTTAACGTCAAACAGAATGAGATTTGAGTACGAGATTAGCGTGCTATTTGATTTTATTAATAAATTTATCTGATTACCGCTGGGTCCGAAAAGGATTTCTTTGAAAGTATGAAAAGTATAAATAATTATTTATCGAATATGACTTAATTTCCTGTTGCTAATGTCAATTGAGACAAACAATACTACTTGATTTCGTTTATTTCTTAAAATAAATTTTCACAATATTTGGCACATGAATGTGGTAAGTGATCGAATGTTGAAAGCGTGTGAGATTTAGTTTCTTGTTGTGTTTAATCATTACCAGTTTAAAGATGGCATACATGTACAAGTTTTGCAACGCTTTCGATTGAATAACATGGAATATCCCACGAGTCCCTTTCTCGGGTAGGTTAGATTGAATACCGTCGAATATGCAACGACTTCCCTACATTTTAATTGGCTGTATTTTCTATGGCATGGCATAAATGTATAATGTAGGTAAACTTGACGCATCCAAATTTCCAAAGCGATATTCGGCCATGATATTGATGCTGCAGTTAAAGTAGCTCTAAAAGTGGTCACAAAAGACGAGAAAAATCAATCAATCAATAAATAAATAAATAAATAAATAAATAAATAAAACCAACTGAATGAAATGGCTGTTTTCCTTCCTCCTACATAGGAACGGGGAGCCTTTTTGAAGCGATCTCACAACGCTGAAGCTAAACTGCAGGGGCCGAAGGACTTGGAAGACCAAGACAGCGAAAAGTTCAAGCGCAAAGGTAAATGATCTTTAGTAATGGTAATTAAAGGCCTAGCACATGAAATGAATTGTCTCCATAGTTATAAACCGAATTAGAATCGGTCTCAGAAAAAACGAATACACACGCAACAATACTGTACGAAAAAAGACTAAAACTTTCCAGAAGTTGTCCTCTAAAGATGGCAAAGGTTTGCGGCGACTCGTGAAAGTCATGAGCTGATAGTTTAGGAAGTAGTCTGACACTAGCTGATTTGCCCGGGGTGAGTATTGTGTAAGTCATTGGGTAGGGGTGTGCTCCTGGAACATTGAAACCCTTTTCACTCTATGCTAGACCATGATCAGACTAGGCACTAAAAACCCCTACCCTATCCCAGACGAGCTATTTTCCATGCAGAAACTTCATCACTATCACAGTCCAACTTACGTTAATTAAACCAATATCTTACAAAGTCACTTTCGATTTTCAATTTCTATTATGGAACCCGGGCAACAAACCCTGTTCTACGCTAAATTATTTATACACTGATCACCTGTCCTGTAAATCATACCCTATTCTAGACAAAAACTGTCTGATGTCTATACTCATCCAAAGCTAAACTGCCTGCAAACCATACCCATATAGTTGTTATGGAGTGCCCCCCCCCTCCCCCTCGGCTTGCCGTGTTTCTCATTACATGAGTAGCTAGCCCTCTCTCTGCCACGCAACGGGAAAGACCGTAACGAGAGAACTTGACGTTGCGCGACTGAGAAAGAGCAAGGCACGGGTCGTTCGACAGATAGATAACGCTATCCCCGAATAAATTACCACTATTCAGTGGATAGCGTGGTTTTTTTTCTTCACACTTAACCACTGGATAACGTTATGTGGGCTTACGAGTAACAAGAATTTTAACAAGTCTTAATTTTGCTTTTATTCAAGTCTTTAGTATGCTTCCCTAGATCGGTACCACTTTTGGGAAGGTTTTTAACAAGATTTCGATTGATGCAAACCGTACAAAGGTCTTGTTAAGATCCTACTAATTTGCTTATTTAATTTCAGTTGCTGCAGGAACTGTTATTGAAGGTGCCGAGCTTACAATCGATCTGTTGAAAGACGTCCTAAATGTTCTCGCTAACGTGAAACGCAAATGCGCCGTTGGGTTTCACAACCAAAGTGGACTTGACTGGTAGCAGGGTTCTTTCTACTTCTTTTCTGGCACTGCGGGCGAAAACTTGCCTTATTCTGTTGATAATGGTAAAAGTGAATTTCGTATTTACAGAGGCTGCCTAGTGTAGTAGTAATTGTATCTATAACAAAATTCTCGATCGTGATTGGTTCTCCGCGAGCTTATTTGTCACGTAATCGTGTAATTGGATACCCACGTGATTTGCGCGTCAATTACGCGCGCTTTAATGGTTTCCTTCGCACTGTTTCCTACAGTTTTCCAAACTTATGAAACGCGTTACAGACGTTTTCACTCAAAAGAAGTTCTCAAAAGACATTTCAACTCCGATTTTGAAATTACTCGCGCGATTACTTCCTGAATTGTACTCCACTCGGTCCAATTACTATTATTAATCAGACTTGAACTTGACCAACACAATATGACCAACGCGACCGTTGCACCTTATTAGGTATCAATTTTTTTTTCGGACAAGATTCTTGCACAAATAGAATTGACCTTTTTACGCCATGCTTGTTTTATTATATCATCGTCCAAGTGATATCCCCATTTTTCAGTATTGGCGTCTCTTAAAAAGAGCCGAGACTCATAACTAAGAAGGAAATAAAAACCGTTGTCAATAAAGCGCAGACCAAAAACAAGTCACTCAGTACAGAGTTTTTTGTTGAGAGGTCTTAATATTAATTTTATATTTAAACATATGATAAACATTACAAAAGCAAGACACAACGTTTGAGTTTCAGTATTCAAGATTACAAAGTCGTAAACGTCTTTAACGTTGACGATGAAAAGCATGTTTTCTAAATTGAAACGTTGTGTGGTGATTTTGACTTGAACAGTTTAACATCTATTCTAATACTACGAAATTTCAAATGTATATGTACGCTTATGAGTACTGGAACATTAAGTGTGTATGTGGCTTGCAGAAGGCGTGCACAGATATCTTCTCAAGGGTTATATTTTCTTGAAGTCCAAAGTTTAAAGTCTATTTGTTCGAACAGACAAACATCCTAACTCAACTTCGTATAAAATAAAAATACTTATCATTCGATGCAATAAATCAATTTTTCATCATTACAATTCGAGTTCGACCGTAAAGAAGTCCGTTGTACTTACATTTTTTAAGTAGGCCAGGTTACATAGCAGGTCGAAAGATGGCATGTCGAAAGATGTGGCCTATGAACGTAACACTGAAAGCGGGTGTAATTATTTCTCATGGCCACACAATTCAGGATTACTCAGGAGAATATTTCATACAGTTTCCAGTATTTGCACGTTGTTATTTAATAATACCATCCGTATCTGACTTGTTTGATCATGATGTTTTTATTGGTATAAGTATGCCATTACTCGTTTGCCGCGCATTAAGGTGCTTTGTTTCTGATATTAAGACTTATTAACCATTTTGCTGTAATTCAATAACGATTAATGTTAACTGCTTTTTCTTAAACAGAGGAATAACTCTTTATAGAGTGTTATTTAAGCTAAAATAGCTATTTTTCGTAACGTTTTTAGTGTGCAGAAGAAAAACTCCTGTTTAGGGAGCACATAACAACTTAACCACGTGAGAGGGGTCTACAGCAGCAACAAGAACAACAAAATTTTATTTCACCTCAGAGTTAAAAGGGAGGAAGAATTTACAATGGTTTTATATGAGAGCAAACATGACAGGGGTGCTGGCTACCCGAAATAACCTATGAGTTGAGGGGCAGTAGAGTCTGAAGAGGTGTATTGATCTGCACACATCATCATTAAGTAATTCTTGTAAAACACTCTATATAACAGCTTGAATAAAAACTTAAACTAAAAGCTAACTTTGTCTACAGATATTTTATATATATGTGTAGTTGGGGGCGACTTGCGGTACAGATTCATTGTCTTTCCCATGGGTACACGGTGGCAAAAATTACTCTGGAAAAGTTTGATTGATCAGCAATTATGAATGAGACGTGTAATGCAACTAATCAAGAGTGCCTGTACTAAAATGGCCGGACTTTGTGTATTGATGACCCTGAAACTTCAGTTTGAAAATATCGTGTGCCTGACCTAGAATAAGCCATTTNCTCATGGCCACACAATTCAGGATTACTCAGGAGAATATTTCATACAGTTTCCAGTATTTGCACGTTGTTATTTAATAATACCATCCGTATCTGACTTGTTTCATCATGATGTTCTTATTGGTACGAGTATGCTGTTACTCGTTTGTCGCACATTAAAGTGCTTTGTTTCTGATATTAAGACTCATTAACCATTTTGCTGTAATTCAATAACGAGTAATGTTAACTGCTTTTTCGTAAACAGAGGAATACCTCTTTATAGGGAGTTATTTAAGCTAAAATAGCTATTGTTCGTAACGGTTTTTAATGTGCAGAAGAAAAACACCTGTTTAGAGAGCACATAACAACTTAACCACGTGAGAGGAATCTACAGCAGCAACTAGAACAACAAAATTTTATTTCACCCTAGAGTTAAAAGGGAAGAAGAATTTACAATGGTTTTATATGAGAGGAAATATGATAGGGGTGCTGGCTACCCGAAAAAACCTATGGGTTGAGGGGCAGTAGAGTCTGAAGAGGTGTATTGATCTGTACACATTATCATTAAGTAATTCTTGTAAAACACTCTATACAACAGCTTGAATAAAGACTTAAAACTAGAAGGTAACTTTGTCTACAGACGTTTTATATATATGTAGTTGGGGGCGACTTGCGGTACAGATTCATTGTCTTTCCCATCGGTACACGGTGGCAAAAATTACTCTGGAAAACTTTGATCGATCAGCAATTATGACTGAGACGTATAATGCAACTAATCAAGAGTACCTGTACTAAAATGGCCGGACTTTGTGCATTGATGACCCTGAAACTTCAGTTTGAAAATATCGTGTGCCTGACCTAGAATAAGCCATTTTACAGTTGTGTGCTTGGTTACCTGGCCTAGGAATGCAAGCGAGGTTGGAGGTGATCTCGCTCTGATATAAACCTCTTAGCTTTCCTCATTTAATGCAAACTAGCATTGGAACAACTTGATTTACACAACAAAATCAGTGAGGTCTTTATCAAAACAAGCTCACCTCCAGCCTCGCTGCCATTCAGAGGCCAGGTCACTGAGCAGACAACTGTAAAAAGGTCTAATTTCCCTTCGGGTTATGATGTATTTCCCATCAATATCAAAATCAAAGCAACGGGTGTTGAAGAAAAAAGTGTACACCTGCTGTCCAAATGGAGGAAATACAGAACACACCTTACAAACTAATGATGGCAGGAACTGCATGAGTTTCCAGAGCTACTGAACTATTGATTACAATTAACTACAT